CCACATTTTTTCTAAAACTTACATCTCACATTGTCTCAAAGCCACTTTACACTATTATTATAAATTCATTTAAAAGTGGCACATTTCCTGAAGTCTTCAAAGTAGCTAGAGTTCTTCCAATACATAAAAAAGGCTCTCTTCAAGATTAAACAAACTATCGACCCATTTCCTCTTTCCAAATTAAGCAAACTTTTGGAAAAGGCTATGTATAACAATTTGTACAAGTTTCTATAAAAATTCAAATGTCTATACCAACATTCTATAAAAATTCAAATGTCTATACCAATATTCAGAAGCAAACATTCCACAACCCTTGCACTTATTGAAATCACTGAAAGGATTCGAAAAGCTCTAGACAATAAGCACTTTGCATGTGAGGTGTTTGTGTAATTGTAAAAAGCTTTTGATACTGTGGACCACTCTATCTTTCTAACAAAACTGGAGTATTATGAAATCAGAGGCATCCCACTAAAATGATTTAATTCTTATCTTCACAATAGAAAACAGTATGTTTCCATTAATGGGGTTAATTTTGTCTTTAAAAAGTGCTTAAATGGTGTCCCACTAGGTTCAGTTTTAGGAAGTCTTCTTTTTCTTATTTTTATAAATAACTTAAATACTTCTCTTAAATTTGCAACCGCTTACCACTTTGCAGATGATACTAACATGCTACTGATTAACAAATCTCTCAAAAAAATTAACAAATATATTAATCATGATCTCACAAATCTTGTTCAATGGCTTCGATCAAATAAATTTTCTCTCAACTGTAATAAAACTGAACTGATCATCTTTTAATCTAGTCTGACTCCTATTAGTAAGCACCTAGATTTCAGGCTAAGTAGACAGAAAATATATCCGATGGGACCTATTAATTATCTTGATATCAAAATTGATTTCATTCTTTCAAAGATTATCTAAATGACTAGGCAATGAAACTCAGGAGATCTAGTGGAATATTGACCAAAATCCGCTATTTTGTAAATTTAGAAGCTTTGCAAAATATATATCATGCTATTTTTGAATCCTGTCTAAGATATGCATGTCGAATTGGGGGCAATCTTATAAACAAAATTGGGGATAATCTTATAAACAAATTTTTTCAAGGCTATCCCATCTCCAAGATAAAGCCTTAAAAAATATATAATTTTAATTTGATAACTATAAACCTATTGTACTGTACTATATTTCGAATATACTAAAATTAAGTTACCTTGTTATATTCCTTAACTGTCAATTTGTTTGGAATTACCATCACTAAAACCTTCAAGTGTAATTCAACAATTTTTATACTAAAAGTCTAAACTGTCGTTATCCTCTTCGTTCGTTCAATAATTTGAACCTACTTGTTCCAAAACACCTTTCTATGAAATACGGAAATAAATCCATTAAACACCAAAGCATAAGCTCATGGAACAAGCTACCCAACCTGGTTGCTGTTTTTTTCATTCTATTATTATTAATTTTTAATTCCTTGGTTATTTATTTTATTTATTTTATGGTGCTATTTTTCTTTTTCTTCTATTCTTTTCATTCTATTATTATTATTATTTTTTAATTTCTTGGTTATTTATTCTATTATTTTTAGGGTGCTATTTTTATTTTTACTATAATTGCGTTATTCACGGAACTCATCTTTATACATCTTTATTATCTATTGATCTTTTTTCATTTATTGATTTTATTTCATTCATCTCTACCTTGTTACTATCATCATTGTTATTGACGACATCTTTCTACAATCTCTATCTATATGCGATATCTATTATGGTTATTATTCATATTATTTTTGTTATTATTTTATTTTTAAATAATAGTAATAATATCTTTAAACTAATATAGTAATATTATCTTAACACTACTTTTATTATTATTATTTTTTTTTTATTATTATTATTTTTTTATTACCACTATTTCTTATTATTGCTATATATTTTTTATTTTACTATATATTTTTATTATATAAAGTAATTATTGCTATATGTTTTGATGTTTGATTCGATGTTTATTTCTGTTCGAATGGTTTATATTATTTATATGATACTATTATTAATATTATTATTTTCCTAGTTGTTTATATTGATTTACACTATTAATATAATATTATTATTAATATTATTATCTTCCTAACTGTTTTTATTGATGTTGTATTTGTTAAGATTAACTTTATATTAGTACTCGTACTATTGTAAATATCCTTGAAATATTAAATAACTTATTTCAGAATATATTTGATTTGATTGAGGATTTTGGTAAAGAAATCGAAACTGTATTTAGATTTTCGTCATTGTTGGAATTCGCTTTTTTCAATGACTGCGCCTAAGAAATGTTTTTTCCTGATACTTACTAAATTAAATGCTCTTGATGTAATCAACGAGCTAGATTTTGAGTCATTAGCTTCATTCCATGCCGCTTTAGAGCCGGCAAAACTAGCAGTGGGGTTCCTTAGCAGAAAAAGTGTAACGTTATTGACAGCAGATACTGTTCTTAAATTCATGCATCAATCGCATCTTTTATTGTATTCAAATTTAAAAAGCGCGTAGATAAAAGAATTAACGGAAATGTTATGCAGTTGTTAAGGTGCGTAATAGATCATTTAGTTGTTAATTTAATAAATACTTTAAATTTTGCTGGAAAGCTTGTGTATAGGTTTTTTGATTTATTTCTAATAATGAGGAACCACAACTAGCTGAAGCACCATTCACAACATCGGAAAGTTTACCTGTTGAATGAATTAAATGCACTTCTCAATAAAGATAGCATCACACACTTGCCTAAAACTACTGAATAAATCAAATGGCTTAAGCAAGAGTTTTTGTTGTACCGCAAGACGGGGAAAAGACGGGGTCTCATCATTTACATCAACAGATATCAAACGCATTTTTTCGAGCTGCACTTGTTTCTGTACAAAAATTAGATCACGGTTGTCTGATGAATGGGTAAAATTTTAAGTTTTCTTAACATTTTTTTACAATAGCAATAAGTCATTATAAGTTTTATTTCAAAATATAAACATATTTTTTATTTATGTATTTGTTTGAACTTATCTTAGAACACTAACTCAAACTTTTTTAATAAATAATGCAAGATATACTCACATAAGTTTTATTGTTAACCAAGAAAAATCGAAAACTACGGTTAACCGCGTTTTTTTTTTTAAACTAAAACCGAAACAGCGGTTTTTTTATAAATGCGGTTTTTTGGAAATCCTAGATTCGGTGCAACCAGTGGCGGATTGAGGTTTAGTGTCGCGGGGGGGCTAAGTCAATAAATAGGGGCGACCGGGGTTGCCTTCAGTAATTTGATCTTATATATATATATATATATATATATATATATATATTGATTGTTTTAGGGGGCGCCGTTAGACCGTTCTAGGGGGGCATGGGGGGCAGCTTGCCCCCCCCCCCCACGCCTTATACTAAATCCGCCACTGGGTGCAACCTTTGCCACAATGCAATTGTACTTTAAACAAGCTAGAAGAGCTGGTACAGTTTTGGTAGCATCCATAGATATAAAAATAACTAGTTTATTGCTACCAGGCACCATGTCATTTTATTTAATCTTTTTTTTTTTTTTTTTTTTTTTATTTTTTTTTTTTTACAACTTCAATATACACTTCATTACGTTACAATTCTATCATATAATTTAATGCAAAGAGTAAAATATATAACATAACATAAGAATACGTAATTTAACAATTATAATAAAATATAACGTTAGATTAATAAACACTGTTTTTTTTTTTAAATAAAAACTATTGTTTCTTCAAATATAAACATGTTGTTGTAAAGGAGACTCGCAGAAGACTATGAAGTCTTATCATCAAGTACCTTTTCAAGTGGTTAAGTTAAGTTAAGACCGTCTAAAAAAATATCAAAAATAAAACCATTTGCTTTTTTTTGCAGTAATTTGTTGTATATGTCTCAAGGAAACACTAAGAAGATTTGAAGCAGCAAGTATATAAACTCGTTTCCCATATATCCAAAGCACTAAAAGCAAATCAACATAGCAATTTTAAATTTTCCGTTTGTTCTAAAACTTGCTCTTAATATTATTTTAATAATTATTTAATAGTGTTAACGTACTGTGACTAGAGGGTTGTAATAATAATAATATATTTCAGCAACAATATTAAAATCGATAGGGGAAGGAACACTCTCTAGTTTTGAAACTTTTGAAAGAGGAACAGGAAAAAATTAATTTATATTGTTTTGAAAGACTTTGGTTTATTAGCTTTATGGACAATCACTTTGTGTGAGATGCTTTTGTTGTGTTGTATATACGTCGTGAAAGATTTTTTGTTTGGAACTTTAATTTCAACATTGCAAAGCAAGTATGTTGTACGTTTCCCAAGTTGATCTAGTTTAATAAATTTCTTATATTTTAACTGTGCATATTAACCTGACCATTCCGCATTTCTTTTAGCAGACATAGTTTTTTGCTTTGAACACTTGAGTTTAAATAAAGCGCAGATCTAAAATAAAAAGTCATAAAATACTAACACCCAATGTGCGTTATGCGAGTTCTTCCGTTGTAGGCCTTCTAATATAAAAATATGACCAGCGCACCCACAAATAAATGGGTATTTGTAAGAGGGGTGCCTTCGCACCCCTCCCACAAATATCTATTTCCATTAATGATAGTTAAACAAAAAAAAACTCTTCCAGCAAAAGTTTTTTGAAACACATTGAAAACGGAGTACGAAGAAGCATTTAAGAAACACAGTTTTTAAAATTTTACATTTAAATATAATTTAAAGACGAGACCATAGCAGCAACAACAACAAAAAAACGAAAAATAATGTGGTTCATACCGTCCTATAGTAAAACTGTTTCTTATAATAGGTTTAAATTGAATTATTGAAAATCTTTTTGAATAAAATAATTTGAAAAAAAAAATGCTTTTCTTATAATTACTCATTTTTTTGTATCTACCAAATCAAGCTGAATAAGCTTTTTTTGTAAAATAAAATTAAAAAAAAAAAAGTAAAAATAAAATTTAAAGCATAAAATTATCTAAAAAAGAAAATAATCAAAACCTACACATCAGATAATCGTTAACATAATAGTTTTTGTTATTTGTAAAGAAGTTTAATTCAATTTAAATCAATTTAAATATTCGCTTAATTTAGCGTCAAGTCTTTTACAACCATGTAATGAAAACCATTGTTCATTTTCAGGAAAATAAAACATATCATCAGCAATGGCTTCTAAAATGGAATCTTTGAGTCGATAACGTACTAATTTTTGTGTGCATTGTTTGACATGTTTTCTCTCCAAAGGTAGAAAAGGAACATAAATCTTTATCAACCCTTTTTCAATAAGCTTAGAGCTATTAAATCCTCCTGATGAACTTAAAGCATTTTTTGTTATAGAATATTCAAAATGTTTATGGGTTAACGACTCTCTGGAGTTTCTATTTTTATAATGCTTCAAAGTATAGTTGTTAATAATGTCTTCAGCCGTATTGCTTAGAAAAATAAATATACTTTTGCGATAATCTACACCATCTATTTGATGGTTGTAGTCTAAAAAAGGAGCAATAGAATCACCAAGACCAATTGGCATTTCATGAAATTCATCAATGATGAATAATGTGCGCTCACATAGCTTAACACTGTTCTCTATTAGCTTAGATAATTGGTTTTTGTATTCTTCTAACATATTTTTATTTGTATAATTTTTTGTTGCATATATTACACGAACAAATTTGCTATTCACACCATTTTTAAATAAATGTTCAGCAATTATTTGTGAAACAAAACTTTTACCAGTTCCAGTCCCTCCATGGAAAGACAACACCAAAGGTGAAGCCGGATTCTTATTTTCAATATGATTTATAATAGCAGCAGGAACACGTTTACTAATTAGGTGCTGGCCAAAAACTTCAGAGTTTATCACATGTTCCAAATCTGAAAGGCTCGGCGTCTGCAACCATTGATTATTGCAGCATTCGTATTTTATACAGAAATCTGAAAAATAAATTATAGCAAATCATTTGAACATTTTTGATTTAAATAAAGTATTCTTAAAAAACTTCAGCATTTATTCCATTTTTTATGACTTGGAAACATGGACGCACCCCTAAATTATTTGAAAAATCTTAAACTACATGGTACCTGAATTAGGTTAGGGAAAGCCCTTACTAAAAAAGTCATTATTTAAAAAGACTATATTATTTTAGCTTGCGCTAGTATATATTATTTATTATTTTTTACTTTTTTTATAAAGAAAACCAGACAAGTTTACAAATACTTTTTCAAGCTTTAGTTTAGTAAATGCTCAATTTTATAACTAGCAAAATATAAAAAAACTCAAACAATAATTATTACGTGCAAATACAAACAAAGTAGAAATGTAATGCAGAATATTTTGTTTAAAAAATAAATTGCACTTTATTAAAATGTTTTTTTTTTCTTTATTAGAGAAGTAAAATATTGACAACTGAAAATTAAACTTTCAAAAGTTTTATTATTTTTGCATCTGATGAAACCTTCAATTTCATAATAATACTTTTAAGTCGCATATTTATATGATATGCAAACGTTATGATTTTCAATTTTTTTTAATCACACACAATGTATATCATTAGTTTATCAGTGTTTATGAGTGACAAATAATTCAAAGTAACAATTTAAAGGCTTGAAAAAAAGTTTTTTTGAAAAATAAAAAAATCGTCTAGTAAATTATAGATAAAATTAAATTATGAAAAAATTGTTTTTATAATTTTAATTAACCACACTCGGAAATTCAGGGAACTAATGCTGAAAAATATCCCATCAAAATCTTTTAATCAATAATTGTGCATGTTATAAGGTTATGATAACACCAAAAATTGAAATTTTAGTTTGAAATCCAACAGCGATATTTTAATTTGGATATAGTGTGCCGAAAATTAAATTTGACCGTTATTTAATGTTTTTATCAAAGTGATAATTGATCACACTACATTTTGTAAAGGTATTTATAAAGAGCATTTCAATCGATATTTTTGAGCTTAGAGAATTTACTTAGCTTATTGTTTGATCTACAAAATTGTCAAAACCAATTGAAAAGAGAAACACCCTCTACAATTCAATGAAGGCTAAGCTAGTCCTCAAACTCCTGCAGCCAAAAAAAGGTGCATAACTTGCTTACCTGTGCTTGCTTGTGGACATCTTCATCATTGTGCACAGGGAAAGCGTTATATAAACCTCAGAACTTAAATTGGCAGACCCAATAGGTTCAGAGCAGATTGCACCCACTGTGGTTTCAGGCAAAGATGTATCACCAAGAGGAGCAGTTCGGATCAGGTAACCACAAGGAGCGCCATTATATTTAAGGTAAGTTTACAAAATATTTTTGCCAATTATTTTAATCTGATTGGCATTAAAAAATGTAGATAATATAATTTTGATTTATAATATAATTTTTAGGGTCATCAGTTGCCCAGCAACTCTTTCCTGGTCTTTTGAGCTTTCAAAATATGGTTTCAATCTAAGAGAATACGGGGCTTTCAAATACTAGAATGAGGAAAGGCTAGTTGAATTCAACTTTCAGCAAAAACTTGCTAACAGTGGCAAGACATTGAGACACTATAAGCTCCCTAAAACTTGCTACAAGCTCAGAAGATTACCAAGTTGTTCATTGCCGGGATCTGCACCAGCTCAAAGAAAAAATCGTATCATCAAGAGAACTTGAAAACAAGGCTATTATAGAGCTTGGAATAGATGTTGGTGGCTCTTTCTTGAAAGTGAGTTTAAGTTTAATAACCTCAAAGCTTGAGTCACACAGTCCTCTTCAAAAGTAAGTCATACTTTGGTCACAAAAGCACAGGGGTCAAAAAGAAACTGTAGTAGCAATTGCAGAAAATACCCCAGAAAACTTTGAAAATTTTAAGGCAGTTTTTTAACTTAATGATGTGAAAAAAGCTTGCTCTCTCAGATCCTTGGTTATCTTGTGTGACATGAAACTTGCAAACATAGTTTGTGGACTTCAATCTCATAGTAACAAACACCAGTGTTGTTGGTGTAAAATTGAGTCTTTCAAAACTCACTGCATGTGGAGTTTTGTGAATTGGAGGTGATTTGAAAATTGCTAAATGTTTCTTTAATGTTGTTCATCCTCATTTGCTTACTTATTCTAACCAAACAATTGTTTTGGAAGTACTACCTCCCATGGAACTTCATTTATTTCTTGGTGTGTTTAATCACATTGTGAAAAACCTGGTGTAAAAATGGCTGAAAGCTATGGATTGGACACAAGCAAATTACATCCTTCTTCAATCTTACCATGGTGGCCACTACAATGGCAATGATTGCATGAAGTAGTTTAAAAGATAAATGAGCTGAAATTGCTTGTTGAAGCTGAAAATCATTTAAAAGCTCTGGATTTCTCTCATGCTTTGAATTCATTCAAGGGAGTTGCTTCAACTTGTTTTGCCTGTTCCCTTTCACTTGATTAAATTTTGAAAATCGAATATTTCAAATCCAGTTTTCTGAATCTCCAGATTTCTGTCACTCCAAAAGTTCATGCTGTTTTTCATAATGTTCCACAAATTATCAAGGGAAAAAAAAAATTTCCCTTGGACTGTACAGTGAACAAACCAACAAAGCTTTATATTCTTGTTTCAAAAGAAATTGGGAATGATGCAAAACAGATGCTTTGCATCCCGAATATTTTCATCAGTTCCGAAACTGTATTTTTGATTACAACAGTATGCGCCGACTGCGCGGAACTGGACCAAGATGCAAAAGATTTGAATAAGAAAAATCTGAAAAATGTTGTGTTGCTAGAACTATTTTCTTAACTATTTCTTAATAAAAAAAATATGTTTCTTAATAAAAAAATTCAATATGTTTCTTAATAAAAAAAGAGTATTAAAATAATTAAGGAACCAATTCTGTGTATTTTTATTTAATATTTAGACTTTTTTGACTAAAATAGCTTTTTGGGAGAAGTCGTAAGTTGAGATAAATATCAATTGTAGAAAAATATTAATGACTCTGTTGGACATCAATCCAAGTTTTTTGAAATCTCATTATGGATACTTTATGGTAAACAGTATCACCACTTCAATGAATTTTTATGGGATTTTTCATCAACATTAGAATCGATTATTAAAATCTTGTAAAATGCATTTTTAAGAGGTGATATCTATCATTAAATAACAGTCAAGTTAAACTTTCGGCATAAATTATCTAAATTAATCAAAATCTCTGTTGGATTTCAAACTTTCAATTTTTGGTGTTATCAGAACTATCTCATTCAATTTTTTTAATGAGATGGTTCTGATACATCACAATCATTAAATTTTTTCTTTAAATTTTAATTTAATAATAATCACTCAACAACTGCTTTTGAATATATTTAATACAACACATCCATCTCATTTAAGTTTTTCTTTAAATTTTAATTTAACAATTACCACTCAACAACTGCTATTGAATATTTTCGAGCGAACAGACGGGCAGAGTTCACTTTCATTTGTGTTGCAAAAAATGTAATTTTGATGAAAAATAGGTAATAATAAGATTAAAAATGCAATTGCTAAAAAATACAATTTTACAACTTTTTGTCCAGTTTTTAATTTTAGATTATTGTATATTTCTAAACGAATTCTAAAACTGTATATTTCATATGTATATGACATATATACACATATATGTTATATGTATATTGTTACTAAATAAATAAATCATCGTTCTTTTATATTTATATAGGGTCGCCACAACAATAAATGGGGTCGCAGCGCTCGGAAAAGCGGCCAATCAACAATCAATGATTGGCTGCTTTAAAAAAAAATTGATTGCCTAAAATTAAATCTGGCCGATCAAATTTGACGATGTAACGTTTTTTAACTACTGCGTTAAAATTTTACTGCGCCAAAGTTTTCAACCGTTCAAACTTCCTTTTGCGGTAACATAATAACGTTAAAATATTGCTGAGACAGTAATATTTTAACGTTGTAATTTTACTGGGCTCATTGTCATCAAGTTAAGTGGTTTTCGTTTTTTGTGCGACAAAATGTTATTTAAAAATAAATTAAATATTTCTGTAAAGTTTTATTACAAACAAGTTTATTTACGTTATTTTAAGTTTTAAGTAAATTTTATGTTGTGTTAATTCACAATAATGCACAATACAGAATATTGTTTAATTACTTTATTTTAGTTAAGTAAAACCTTTTAAATTAAATAAAAACTTCTTTTAATAAAATAAGTTTTCTTTATCTCGCCAATACCTTTTTTGCAATACTTACACTGCCTTTTAAAATATGCTTTTTTTCCTTTTTTATTCGCATCTTCAGGAAAAGTATTGTCATTTAAATATTTCGTGACATCATAAAGTTAATATTTTTGTACATCTTGACAAAATGAGCTATATAAATTGTAAACTAAAAAGCCAGTAAAATTATAACGAGAGAAATAAAATTAAAACGTTAAAATATTACTTCCTCAGTATTATTATTTTACCGCAAAAGATGTTTGAACGGTTGAAAACTTTCGCGCAGTGAAATTTAATCGCAGTAATTAAAAAACGTTACACCGGCAGTATTTGCTCGTCAAACTTTAATAATATTTAGGAGCCATCCATAAAGGACGTCATCCAAATAGGGGGGGAGGGGGTCGAGTTAAAAAAGACAAGGGGAGGGGGGAGGTTGTCAGAAAAAGACGTTACTTTAGGTTTTTTATTTTAGTTTAACATTTGAAATATAGAAAGTTAAAAATATTAAATCAAAATCAAAATTATTTTGAAAAAAAATTAAATTTTAAATTTAATTCATTTTAATTTAATAACAAACAACTTATTTAAATTCTTAATAAAATAAAATCGACAAAACAAACGTTTTACTTATTTTCTAAATAAAATAATTAAAATAAAAAAACAGCAAAATCAAGAACTAATTTATGTTATGTAATCATGTATGTAGTCATATAATCATATATGTATATATAATCAAAAATTATCTAATTATAATTCTAAATAAAAT